CCATTCCCTGAAGTGAATGCGACATCATCTAATTATAACGGTCGTGGGTCTAACCGTGGTCGTAGCCGTGGTCGTGGTCGAGGTCGTGGACGTGGTGGAGGCCGTCATAATAATCGTCCCAACAATAATAATAATAATATAAGTAACCACCAGAAGTGGGAAAATAACAAAAACCCACATCCTAATGATAAAAGTGGTCAAGGCAAGAAGAAAGTTGAAAATGTTTGTCACCGATGTGGAATGACCGGTCATTGGTCACGTACATGTCGCACTCCAAAGCATTTTGTTGATCTTTATCAAGCTTCTCTAAAATATAAAGAAGGAAAAAATGCGGAAACAAACTGTGTTCAAAATTATTTTTCCGAAGATCAACTAGAAATGAGACATTTGGATGTCGCCGATTATCTTGCCAACACGGAAGGGATAAACGGTGTTATGAATGGTGATGGAAGTACCCAATTTTTCCCATAAAATGAGATGGATATGGCATATCATGAAATTGTTGGTTTTCTAGTATCATTTTATTTTTGCATTATGTTTGTTTAAAGTCATTGTCATGGTCAAGAATAATATGTAGTTTTGTTTAATGTCGTTTATGATTTTTATGTTATAGTCGTTTCATCAGAAGAGATCTTGATGATTTCATCATAAATATTGGAATAAAAGTTCTCTCTACTCTCTTGTCTTTCTTTACTTTATAATTTATCTTGTTATTTGATCATATTTTATAACAAAAAAAAATTATTATTAATTTAAGTTGGTCATGGTCTATCCAATTTGCTTTGTAAATGTGTTTGTCGTGTTTGATTAAATTTGAAAATGACAGAAAATAAGTAAATGACACATAATGCATATAGTGAATGCACAGCTCTTTGATTATGCTAATTTGTACATGTTGCACACAGAGTTATACATTTACAAAATTGTGATTCATAAGTTTTAAGTTTCAGCGATTAGTTTTTAGGTTTTATATTTTTAGTTTGAACTCCAAATTGATGATAATAAAGGCGTACGATACAAATTGATGATAATAAATGCGAACGATACAAGTTATAAGTCCGTGAAATTTGTGGTACAACGAAGGCTTGAACACAAGACCAACGAAACACACGTTTTAAATGATGTATTTATTATAATATTTATTTTAGTTTCATTTCATTATTATACTGTGTTTTACAGCATTAAACATATTAATTATAATAATATCATATAAATTTAAATATTTTTTTTAGAGAAATCAACAATAAATTCCTAAAATTTAGTCAAGTTTACGTTTTAGTTCTAAATTAATTTTTTTACGAAAAAAATTCTAAAAACTAGCAAAAAATTCTAAAAACTAGCAAAAGTTTGCATTTTAACCTTTTTGACCGGTTGAAACCGAAATCAAATTAATTTTGGACTATTTTGTAAAATGATTTAAAATATTATGACTTTTCTGCAAACAAAATTATTATTATTATTATTATTATTATTATTATTATTATTAATCTAGCCAAAATCATTAATTATTTATCCAAAAATAACCAAAAAAAAAAATCATATTAGCCAAAACTAGCCCATGAAAGAGTAGACTTGATATAGTTGATTACGCTCAACGCTTGGTAATTGACTATTGTTTAACGGTCTGTTTATTTTTTGTGGCCAATTAACCCAAAGTATCTAATGTTAAAATTTTCAAATTAGGTCATTTTTATATATTGTTTTGCTGATTTGCATATTTTTTCTCTCAATGGAGCACCCGAAAAACAATGAAATTTGTTTATTTTTATCAAAATTTTACCGTGTTCTTGATTAAAAGTAGTTTTTGTATATGGTTTTTTTTTTTTTTTTTTTTTTTTTTTTTTTTTTTTTTTTTTTTTGAAAAAAAAACCGAAAAAAAACGTAGGTTTCATAGGAAACCTACAGTGTATAAGTGCGCAATGCACAAATTGTGCAGTGTCAACTTGTACACCTACAGTTTTGTATGAACCGTACGAAATTTTATTTTTCGTTTTTTTTTTTTTTTTTTTTTTTTTTAAATTTGATGCAACATGTAAGGAATTGTATAAAAGTTATTATTTCATGATTTTTTTTTTCATAAAACTCAAAAAAAAAAAAAAATTGTGAAACCGTAAGCTTTTTGGAAACCAACGGTGTACAACCATTTAATGCACAATTTGCGCCTTAAAAGGTTGTAAAACATAGGTTTTCAAAACACCTACGGTTTTTTTAGGTTTTTTATTAAATTTTTTTATATAACCAATAAACACTTGTGTATATTGCCGATTCCGTGATTGTTTTTGGAAAGAAAAAAAAAAAATTAAACCGTAGGTTTCCTAAAACCTAAGGGTTTTTTTTTTCATTTTTCATCAAAAAAAAAAAAATCTACGGAATTTTAATGATTGTATATATATGTTATGATTCCATGTTTCAATTTTGTGATAAAGTATGTTATTTTGTATTTCTCAATTATAGAATACAATAGCAATGTACTATCCATTTGAAGAACTTTCTATGTTTATATTCTATAAATACTTGAAGTATAATGCATTGATAAAATAACATTGTGTTTTGGTAGTTTCGGGTTTGTTATATAATATGTTATTGTCACACCATTTTCAAAGTACAATGCTATATTTGGTATACTATTAGTATAGAAAATACAAAAAATGTTGTCAATTAATTTCCTTTGGTATTTTATACAAAGTAAATAGAATATATGAAATGATTAAGTGTTATATTGTGTGATTTCTCGACTTCTTTAGCAATGTTTTTCTTTTATAAAACCTTATTTAACCTTAATGTTTATTTAATTTTGTAGCTTCCAAACAAAAGGTTGATGTGTAACATATATGTCAAAGCTTCATGTCATAAGTTACATGAAGTTTTGAGTGGCTTGTAGGGACCAATGCGAGAGATTTTTTCAACAACTAGCTTCGGTTACT